TAAAATAAAATTTTATTGATACATGAAAACTATAAGAATTACAAAATCAACTGAATGAGGTAATACACTAGATGTATTGCTCATAAACTACATGAAAATACAAAATCAAATAATTTAATACTTATATGAATATTGTAATTAAGCCCAAACTTGCGATTTAGTAGTTAAGTCACATTTACATAATTTATTTAGACAAAAAATAAATTAGTTCTTGGGGAAGATAAATTAACTAAGGATATTGTCCTCAAGCATGCTCTCAACAATCAAAGTAAGTACAACAATTGATCTAAATCTGACTAATATTATATTCAAATTACCATCTTCCTTTGATAAGAGCAGATCTCAATAAAAAAAATATTGAGAAAGTAAAAGTAGGATCGTTTAAAAAAGACAGAGAAATTTTATAAAACATAGAAAAACCCTTTTAAAGAGAAAATAACTTTCACTTTTAGTATTTACCCTAATCACAAAGGGGGAGAGGGGAGAGAGGTAATGACCACTAGGTAAAAGAAAGAAACAAGAAAGAGAGGAAAGATCAGGGCGAGAAAAGGCAGGGGCGGCTCAAAATAATTTCCATCTTGATTACTGTTTGCTGTGGTGATTATCCCGCTTAGAATGAGGGTTTTTTTTTTTTTTTTGGCCTTCCCTTAGAATGAGGTTTGAGAATTCATAGATACAATGCATTACTCGTTTTTCCTATTTTTTTCTATTTTTTTAAGTACTAGTACATCCCTCATTTCAAGCCATTTTTCGAACAACAAATTTCATGACGAGTAAATACTATCATTTAAATCCAGTTAAACATATACTAAAACAGTTATGATTATATTATTTCAACATAATTTTTTTATAGATCGAATCTTGAAATAAAAAGATTAAACGTATTAGCACTTATTGTATATTTCATCTTAAAATAATGGACATTATTCTTTTATTTTATCTCTAGATTAAAATTTTGAAAATAATTTTTTTTATTTTTTTAAAAAAATAAAAATAAATAATTATTTTAATCGAATGATGAATAATTAAAATTATAAAATAATTATAAAATTAAAATAAAAAATTTTTGTTTCCTTGAAATTAAAAAATAATTTTTATTTGAAAATTTTTTAAATAAAAAATATTTATTATTTCAAAACAGAATGAGTAATTAAATTCATTTGTTCCTAAAAATCCTCTCTAGCTATTTTTTTAACTTGTAACTAAACGTGTGTTCATTATATTTTTCAACAATTAATTTTATAAAAAGTTAAGATTAGATATTAATTTTATCACATGTTAAATGAAAACCATTTCCAATGTGTTGGCCTTCTAAATCAAAGTCATTTATTATAACTTTTTTAGTATTTTTATGTTATAATTAATCACTAAAATGTACACTAAATATATTTATAATAATAAAAAAACCTTTAAAATTGGGAAACAGTTAGTAACATACA